CGGGGTCCCTGGTTCTTCATTACTGTGTGCTGGATCCTGCCTACTTCCAGCAAACCCACAACTCTAGCACTGACCACAGAACACAGTGTGGTTTTATGAACAGGGGCCAGTCTGCTAGGGAAAGAACCTGCTTGCTGGAAACGCAGTGCTGTTTCCCAGTTCGCAACACCTGCAAGGACCCGGGGCACCTCCACCTCTGCTGTGTGCCCTAGGAGTGAAGAGTCCCTGGTTCCAAAAGAGTTCAGTTTCATTCAGGTTTTAAATCTGTGATGTCCTTCCAAAATAAATAAATAAATAAACCTGTGATGTCCAGTGAGCTTTCTTCTGTTCAGTTCTGCCACCAGATTTCAGAATTAGATCCTGATCTGCAAGTGCTTGATTCAGACAGCCGGGTCTGGGCACACAGCTGTCTGAGGCTCTGGGGTGTGGGGTGTGGGTAGGTGGTCCCTAACCAGGCCCCATCACCCAAGGCTCCTCCTTTCTACCCCCCAGTTGACCACAATGCTCTCTCCAGACGTCCTCCACTCGTCTTTCCCTGTGCTGTCTCCCCACCCAGCCTTTTAGGATTTATGGGTATCCTGGTTTTCCTGGCCTCACCATCGCCACATGCTTTCCTGGCTCCCACCCCACGCCTTCTTCCCTTTCCGCATTCCTGGCTGTCACACTTGTTCTCTGGTCAAGATAAGAGCCCTGGATTCAACATCGCCTCACTTTCCTCTTTTTAAGTCACGGGTATTTAGTATCGATGCTGTCATTTCCCGAAGGGCCCTGCAGGTGTCAAGCACAGTGTTAAGTGTTTTGCACTTTTGCAGCTGGTGGCCCTTTTTTCCCTTGCTACCACCCCTGCGGCCCTTATGTTTCATTATTATTTCTATCTTGTCGATCAGGAAACAGATACATAATAGGCTTCAGGTAGTTAAGCCCCTTAGGAAGACCATAGTCAGTGATTTTGAGGCTGTGAACCAGGGCCTCTGAAGCTCACGTCCCTTTAAATCCAGGGTCTGGGCTCTCAACCTGGCTGTTGACCCAGCTTACAGTGGTCAGGAGTCCTCCTCTTCCCTTCTTTTTTCTTTTTAAAGATTTATTTGTTTGTCTTTGGCTGTGCTGGATCTTCGCTGGTGTGTGTGGGCCTTCGTCAGTTGTGGCGAGTGGGGGCTGCTGTCTCGTTTCGGTGTCCAGGCTTCTCATTGCAGTGGTTTTCCTTGTCGCTGAGCACGGCCTCTGGGTGCTCGTGCTCAGGTAGTCAGGGCTCACGGGCTTGGTTGTGCCGTGGCGTGAAGGCTCTTCCTGTGTCTGCCGCGTCAGCAGGTGGATTCTTTTCCCCTGAGCCACCAGGAAAGCCCCTCCCCTTTTTCTTGAATAAACACATCCAAGTTTGTTTGTTTAATTTTATTTTAGTTTTAATTAGAGGATAATTACAATATTATGTTGGTTTCTGCCATAGGTCCCCTTCCTTTTGAGCCTCCTTCCCATGAATCTAAGCTTTAAAAATCGAAGCACATGTATAGGAAAGTACACAAATCATGCGTGTATAGCCCAGTGACTTTGCACAAAGAACGCCCGAGAAACCTTATCCATGCCTCTTCCAGTCCCAAGGGGAGCCACCACCCCAACTTCTAATATCAGGTAAATCCTGCCTATGTGTGAACTTCTATTAATGCAGTCATGCCATATGCATTCTTTTGTGGCTGGTCTCTTTCTAAATTCAGGCATGAGAAATATTTATAAATGTACACTATCCATTTGTAAATCCCCCCCTCCTAGTTGATCTTACTTTTCCTAGTTTCTCAGTCAGTAAAGAGGCAAAGTTTCCTTCTGGTACCTCGTCAACATTGTTAGGATGTGCCATTGAAGTGGGCTTTCTCAAAGACCCTCCTGTTCTTCCTGGAGGTGAATAACAGATTCCAAGCTGTTTCATTTGCTTCCCTGGTTTTTCCTTTCCATCTTTCCCTCTGTGAGCCGCACCTGCCCTGTGCCTCGTTGGGGTTTGTTCATTTGATTAGGCTCTCCAGCATAGCGGGCAGCGCCAGCTTCCTCTGAGGCCCCCTGTGACTGATGTATTAACATCCGTATGGGTTTCCCCTGGGATGGACAAATGTTCACAGCTTCTGGCAGCAGTTCGCTGCACTGTGAATCAATTTTAAAACTGCCTAAATATGATGATCACAGACCTCCTGTGTGGTTTAAAGAAGAGGACACCTGGGAGAGAGGTGGGTATCTTCCAAAGACAAGCATACAGCTCTCCGTCTGTACTTCGTGCATCTGTTTTAATCTGGAACATTTAACTCTATAATAAGCAGAGTTCGAGGGGAAGCAGATAAAATTTCTTCCCCTAAAAATCCAGAATTGCTAAAATGGCATCTGATAGAAACTGCCTACCTGCAAGTGCCCACCTTGATTTATGGCAAACAGAAAAGCTAACCCTCACATCTGCCGTAACTCCTTAGAAATTATGGAAAGCTCGAAAAAGCAAGTGTTCTCCCGATGTTGACCACCGTTCATTTGTTATCCTCAGACCTAGATTGTGGTGCCTGGTATCTGGGTCACATAACTTGGAATGTGGATAGACTTCAACCCCAGTTCTTGTGGTATTATCTTCAAGGGCAATAATACAATGCTTTTTGATTCCAACTCCAAATACCCTGTAATAAATGGCATAGTTTCAATTAATTCTAATGTGCATGTATTGAAACATCATGTGGACTTGATAAGGACTAAGAACACCAAAGGATACTGTGGGCTAAAAAATAGAAGATTTAATAACAAAAAAGAAACAGACTAACTGATGTAGAGAACAAACCAGTGGTTATCAGTGGGGAGAGGAAAGGGGGGGAGGGACAAATGGGGTAGGGAATTAAGAGACACAAACTATTATGTGTAAAATAAGCTATGAGGATATATTGTACAACACAGGGAATATAGCCAATATTTTACAATAACTATAAATGGAGTATAACCTTTAAAAGTTGTGAATCAATATGTTATATGTCTGTAACTTATATAATGCTGTACATCAATTATACTTCAATTAAAAAATACAGATTTAGTGGTTTAGTGACGTAAGTGCCTTGATCTCTAATTGTTTCATTTGCATATTTATTTCCTATGACATTCTGCATGGTTCCCATCATGTGTATCCTGTCATTCAAATTAAGGGTAATGTTAAGGATTTGGGCCAAATAGCCACTTAATATTAGTTATTGGAACAGTTTGCCAGGAGATAACATATCTGAGATTCCTTTTGCCTTTTCGTACTCTAAGATTCTTAGAGTCTAAGGAGTCAGATATTTTATTTTCAAGCTAAGAAGTTATGTGGGTTTTATGTGCAAGCAGGTAGAAACCTGATATCTTGTATCAGTTTTCAGTTTTGTGCATGCTTAGTTATTTTTCAAACTTTGAGTTAGCATTAAAATGAAAATTTAAGTTATATATTTAATACCCATGGTCTTTAGAATCTGTTAAGGAACTTCAAGGTGCCAATGATAAGTTCCAGAAGGAGCCCAGACTTACCCTAGAGGTTTATGGGAAGGAGAAAACCCTACATACTTCGTTTGTTGTTTATGCATGCAGACTTATAGAGGTTTTATGTTGCACTTCTAGATTACCAAGTGATGCTTTGAATAAGAAGAAGGTGAAAGCAGTGGTCTTCAAAGTGCCTAGTTCAGATGTGGATGGGAAATATCACTCCTATTTCTTCCATCCCCTACAGGGTCTTTTCTTGGTAGAGATTTTATAGTATCTGTAATATATTAGTGCTTGGAGTTTAAGTAATTAGATTGTTAAAGAAAAAATATGCTTTAAGATTTGGGTTTGGAAACAAGTGTACACTGGGATTAGGTTTGTCTGTATTTAACAGGGGAGAAAATAATAGCCAAAATAACATAGTTTATTTCTCTCTCCCATAAAAGATACTGGCTGCCAGCCCAGGGCAGGTATCACAGCCCCATAGTGTATCCAGGGTTTGTGCATCCTATCATTTTGTTTTCTGCCCCTCAGCAATTGATTTCCATCTTCAAAGTCATGTTGTGACCCAAAAAGGCTACGGAAGCTCCAGTCATCATGCTCATAGTTCAGTTAGAAGAAAAGAGGGAAAGAAGAGAGAAGGCACACTCCCTTCTCTCTTTTTAAATTCTTTTTCTTTTTTTTAATTAATAAACTTATTTTTTAGAGCAATTTTAGGCTAACAGCAAAATTGTATGGAAAGTACAGACAGCTTCCATATCCCCCAGATTCCCTTTCTTTTAGGTTATGAACTAAGGGCTACCCAGCAGCTTCCGCCTGCATCTCATCAGACAGAACATGGGCGTACCTGGCCAGAGCAAAGCTGAGAGGACTCATCTTTCACTGGGAGCTTTGCTGCCGTTGATGGAACTGGGCTTTGTGGCCAGAGTAGACAGGGAGGTAGTTGAGGAGGAAACTTGAAGTCTTTATCACAGAATCATTTAATTAAAGACATTCTCTTTTATTATTTTATGTCAATTATGCAGAAGAGAGTTTTAAGTCCAGACATTAAACTGGTACATTTAGAAAGCTGTTTTTGTCTGTTGATTTTGAAATATACTGTACCATGTGTAATTATTATGAGCTCGTAAGGGCTTCATCTTAAGCATCAAAAATAATCATTTTAAATTGTACTAAGAAATCATACAATTATACTAGGTACATAGAAGGAGGAATTTTATGGTAATTTGGAAGTACATTTAGTGTTTTTTTGAAGGAATTCTTTTTATGTAATAAAGCAGCACAATTTAAAGATCTTTATAAAATTTTTAAATATTATTCAATATTTTTTTTATATCCTAGACTTTGGCTATTATTTATTTCATTTGTTCCATCAATAAACACTTCAACTTCTATTGCTTTCAAAAGGAAAGCAGAGCAAGAATCTTTCTTTTGTCTTTCTCATAGAAGTGTACCGTGGTAATGATTAATTGCTCTATGATAAATATTTTTTCTGTCTTCTCTCATGGTCTTCTCCCTAATCATCCCATCTCCAAAAGTGCATACTCCTTCCACGTTACTGCAGACGGTCAGATGCAGCCCGTCCCCTTCCCCCCAGACGCCCTCATCGGCCCCGGCATCCCCCGACACGCTCGCCAGATCAACACCCTGAGCCATGGGGAGGTGGTGTGCGCAGTGACGATCAGCAACCCCACGCGACACGTGTACACGGGCGGGAAGGGCTGCGTCAAGGTCTGGGACATCAGCCACCCTGGCAACAAGAGCCCCGTCTCTCAGCTCGACTGTCTGGTGAGTGAGAAGGAGCCGGTGCACCAGGGTAATTTCCCCCTGGAGACTCAATAAGGAAATCGCTGTCGGGGCCTGGGTTTTATTCCCATTATGAGGAAATGGAAGCCCATTCTGTTTCCTGTGTTAGCCATTTAGCTCTCCCCACCCTCTCCCCTCAGCGTGAAGGTTTCATTTGTTGCTATTTCAGTGGTTAAATCCCAGAGTTGATGGATTTCTCTTAAAAAAATATTTCAACGGGAGTTTACAGAAGCTGTCCTTGTTTGAATGTGTGTTCAGAAGGGGGTGTCCTGTTTAATGGATGGAGCACAGCTAGGCCTGGACTCTGAGCCCTGTACTCCACTCCACTTTTAATTTCCCTGCAGCCTTTGGATAAATATTGAAGAGTAAACATTTGATAACGTGACATAGAACCATTCTGAACAGGGACTGTGTTTTCAGGGAGATCTGGCTGAGTTTTATGACCTTAACTTCAGGAAAGAGTTAATAGATCACACTGCACGAAATCAGGGCTGCCGTCAGCAGAATGGGGGCGGTGGGGTGGGAGGGCGTGCTCCCTTCAAGCACCTATGCCTCCTCCCCACCCCCACTCCCACAGTACGAGAATACCATGTTGCAGTTTTAGGGATCATAGAACATGCTGGGACATGTCCTTTACACAGTACCCATGTACAGCACCCCTTCACGGACCACGGACCATTGGCCTTGAGCAGACTGTAGGCTGCCTTGTGGCCCTTGACCCACAGCCTGCCTGGCACACAGCAAGGGTTCTGGAGAGGGTGTTTCTGAGAAGAAGGCAGACTGTGGTTTTGAGATGAAAAGGCTCTTTGGGATAGTCCTTGATTTATTTTTTTAATCAAATAACTTACACACATATCTATTAATGAAACTTAAACATGAGGAAACATACTTAAACACAGCTTAACATTCTATGGTCTTAGGAGAGTTTTGTAACACTCATTTTTTTGAAATCACACTGGTTACAGTTTCTCCACTCTTTGAACAATAGGCCATGGTTAAAGCACAGTAAAGACTTTGACTGTTTCTGCTGCGGATGTGGTTACTTCTTTGTTGGCGGTGGCGGGGGCGGGGGGATCATTATAGAATTCACCTTCCTTTCTAATGTGTTGGTTTTGATGGATAGATGCCTTCTTTTGTTAATTTCTTTGGCCTCTGGATTGAGAGGCTTAAATATGACAGCAGCCAGGTTACAACTGGAGAAAGCAGCTGCGTTAAATTCCCAGACACGGATCCATCTGGCTAATGAAGACACGGTACAAGCCTTAGGCAGAGAGACTTAAGAGTAATGAAAACCAAAACCCAGGCAGCAAGTCTGCATTTTCCAAATAGTAAATAACAGGGTAATGAGGTCAAAGATTTCTAAACCAGCTTTGAAAAGTGGTTTTTTCCATAGAGAAGTACGTGTACACCCGCCGTACATGTACTGACGGCCTCCGCTTTGGCTCGGCAGCAGTGGGAGTTACCCGTAAGCCTTCACATGCGCTGAGCGGTCCTGGGAGATTGCTTTGTTTACCACTCCGAAGGAGCCAGTGGCCATCAGAACCGGATCTTTACTATAGAATGCTTGCTTTGCTAGTATCCGTGAAATACCACATTTTAAGTCAACAACCAAGATAGCCGTTAGAGAACATGGCATTGTTACTGCTTGGTCATGCATTATAACAATTGAATTATGTTTATTTCACAGAACAGGGATAACTACATCCGTTCCTGCAAATTGCTCCCTGATGGCTGCACTCTCATAGTGGGAGGGGAAGCCAGTACCCTGTCCATCTGGGACCTGGCGGCTCCCACCCCGCGCATCAAGGCAGAGCTGACGTCCTCGGCCCCCGCCTGCTACGCCCTGGCCATCAGCCCCGACTCCAAGGTCTGCTTCTCCTGCTGCAGCGACGGCAACATCGCCGTGTGGGACCTGCACAACCAGACGCTGGTGAGGTGAGTGGGGGTGGTGTCCTAAGCTGGGGTTCCTTGGGTCAGAAAGGCCCCCTCCCCCCATTTCTCCTGCTTCTCTGCCTGCCCCCAGGTTCTCAGCCCACAGAGGCCAGGCTTGGAATTGGGTGTCAGGACCATGTCGCCGCCCTCAGGGGCTTACACTCTTGCTGCCATGCTTGGGTGTCACCCAGACTTTATATTTACCTCCCTGATGTTCCTAGTTCCTATTCTTCATGCCAGATTTGTTTAAAAAACATCCCTGGCCTTTGCCAAGGGGCAGAATACCATGGATTAGATGGAGGTACAAAAGGTCCTCAACGCTAGATGTTTTTGGCTTTGCCTGGAACCTCATATGTGCAAACAGGAACCAACTGATACAGGATAGCAGAAAATCAACAAAAGAACATTAGAAGAGATTCCATGAATTTAAGCCACAGAATGGTTTTAAAGTAGCAGTGTTTCTCAATAACTAAATAAGCCCTGTCCAGGGGTCATATCCCCCAGGAACAAGCCTAGCTGCCTGGAATCTGCCACCTTTGTGTCCCCTCCTCGGCTCTTGCCAGCTCCCTCCCTCTGGCCAAGTTGATGCTCATGTCAGGGATGTTAGAGAAAAGCCTTTTGAAAAGAAAGCACTGGACTTCCCTGGCGGTCCAGTGGTTAAGAATCTGACTGCCACTGCAGGGGACATGGGTTCGATCCCTGGTCTGGGAAGATCCCATATGCCACGGGGCAACTCTTAAACCCATGTGCCCCAACTACTGAGCCTGTGTTCCGCAACAAGAGGAGGCACGCAGTGAGAAGCCCATGCACCACAGCTCGGGAGTAGCCCCCCACTCACCCCCAAAATAAATGAATGAATAAATAAAGGAAGCACTGATTAAACATCTAAGGTAGAATGGGCCTGTGTTTTGCCCTTTCTTGTCACAGTTCATCTTCACTTAGAAACACTGCGTGTGGTGTTTTTTTAGACTCATAGGTTACTTAGCAGAACTCCTTCCATGCTTCCAGGCCAAGGGCTGGAGGGAAGGAAGAGAGCATGGAACTCATTAGAGTGGCTCACTCTTCAGCCTTTTCTGTAGAAATCTACCAAGTCTTACCACACCAGGCTCTGTCCTTGCATGTGGGTGAAAGTCTGCAGTTATTTTATTTTTTTTGGTCACTCTCTGGGCAGCTCAGAATAAGCAAAGTGAACAACTGGAGCCAGAGCCAGCAGCCACTTCAAACTTCTAGCCTAGTGATTGTTGGCTATTTTTTTCTTTGTTTTCTGCTTTTTTTTTTTTAACTTAATAAATACACTTTCAAAATATTCATTTGAAGTGCTTTTCAAGTATTCCTCTCTTTAACCCCTGTCACTTGCGCCCTGCTTCATCCTGATGGTATCATGGAGGAGCTGCAAAGCGGTCCGGGCACCCCGCCCTCTCGTGTGCTCGGAGCCCTCGCTCCGTGCCAGCCCCCGGGGAGTAAGCACCTGTTGAATGTGACGGGGTCGCGCCTCACACGTCTCCCCGTCTGGACTGGCCACACGCGGCTAGTGGCCACTGTGTGACAGGGCAGTGCAGAGTCTGTTGAATATCTGTGTATCTCTGTGACCCAGCACGTTCTGAACAGCCCTCAAAGCTGCTTTCTAGGAGCCTTAGTGCAGCGCTGAGATAGATGGATGGAGGGATGGAGAAATGAGCACCCACTACGTGTTTAGGTCCCCAGAGAAACAGTTGTTCTCAAGGAGTCCTGGTATTTCATGAGTTCCAGAGGTAAGAAGAATTCAGAGGCTGAAATGAAAAGGAGGTCCTTGGGTTTCACAAGCTTTTTGAAGATGGAAAAGCAGCACTTTGGAAAGGTGGGGTAGGACTGCTGTAGGCCTGGGGGACCAGCGGGGACACCTTGGACACAGGCTGGGACTTTGAGGGACAGAGTTGGGGTGCATGCGGGAGAAGACCGTGGTGGAAGTTCTGAGTAGTTTTCAGAAGAGAGACTTCTGAAGTAATGCTTTGTATCTTGTCTCAGAATTCAGGGCAGCAGTGGAGCTCACATCCTCTCCTCCATGCCCTTTACATTCCAAGCTCAGCTTTAAAGTGTGAAGCTCTGTGGGAATAATAAGGTAACAGGAACGAGAGGCAGTGGAAACTGCTCTGAGTGTTGAGTTCCCAAGCAGTTCTCTCATGGAGTCTGCCTGGCTTGCCATCCTGATCAAGCCTTGGAACGCCTCTCACCTATTCTAGTCACTCCCCTGCCTGCTCCCTCTTGGTCTGCAAAACCAGGCCCACGACCCCCCACACCATCAGCCCTGTGGTGGGGTACATCACCCTCCCTTGAGCAAGCCCCACCTGAGGCCTGGCAGAGCATCTGTGCTCAGCAAACCCATGTTGGTTGGTCATTCTTAGTGGTGATTCATTGTGTTATTTATTTTTTTAAGTATAGTTGATTTACAATGTTGTGCTAATTTCTGCTCTACAGCAGAGTGACTCTGTTAGGTACAGATATACCTTCTTTTTTATGTTCTTTTCCATCATGGTTTATCTCAGGAGATTGGATGAAGGCCCCTTTGCTGCAGAGTGTGACCTTGTTGTTTATTCATTCTAAATGTAATAGTTTGTATCTGCTAACCCCAAAGTCCCAGTCCACCCCTCTCCCTCCACCCTATCCTATCCTTGGCATACACAAGTGTGTTCTCTGGGTCTTTGGCGGTAGTTATTGACTGAGGCACGAGATTCCCCTTTAAGAGAACAAAGGCCTTGTGCTGGGACTCCAGGCAGGACCATGCCCAGGGGTCAGTCAGCAATCCGCTGTCTCTGCCCCGGGCGTCTGAGTCAGGAGGCTGGCATGCCCCTTTGTCTCCGGGAGTCCAGATTTCCTAACGCAGGGCTTTTTCTAATAGAGAACGCGAGGTTGAGTCAATACATGAGCTCATGCTTTGCTGGCACGAAGGGCATCTCTATGTTACTCACTCATGGAAATGGATGTGGCCCCGGGCCCTGAGTCCGTGATGTGGTGATACAGGCCCTTGCGGTTAGAGGTGAGGCCTGCCTCTTTCTATAAGGAATACACTTGGGATTCTGTGTGTTTGTCTTTTTTTTTTCCCCCCTTCTTTTCACACTTAAACACTTTTTCAGACCTGGGAGGAATTTCACCTTCCAGACAGATTTGTAAGAATAGCTCTTGGAGCGTATTTAACTTCTCCTGTGTGGTGACCTAAAACAGCATTCCATTTCTTCAGCACTTGGATCACGAAAAAAGGAAAAGAAAATCTGCAGGTGCCGTTTCCTCTCCTCCTCAAGGGAAGAAGGTTGGTTTGATCTTGCACATCAGCAGACACCGAGGAGATGACACACGCCCGGCGAGTCCAAAACTAACAACACAACAGTGTTTACCTTGAGCTCTGGCAGGAAATCATTATTCAATCTGGTTTGTTTTATCAGGCAATTCCAGGGCCACACGGACGGGGCCAGCTGTATTGACATTTCGAACGATGGCACCAAACTCTGGACGGGCGGTTTGGACAACACGGTCCGGTCCTGGGACCTGCGCGAGGGGCGGCAGCTGCAGCAGCACGACTTCACCTCCCAGGTGCGCGCCCGGCCCTGCCGGGGACCCACCGCGCTCCGTGTGTGGCGCCCCACCCCCACCGCACCCCCAGGAGGGCAGAAGCTAGACAGGCAGACCAGACTTTCGTTTGGGATACACACACGCACACAAACATACCCCCCAGATCACCCTGAAACACTTAGACTGGCTTTTAACATGCTGTAGCGTAAGACTTTTTAGTTGTTTTGTTCATCGGTGAATTCATTGCAGGAATTTGTGACGTGAAGAACGTATAGGGTCTGATGTGTTGTCGGTCCATCTTCTCACCCTCTGATGTAGGGGTGAGAGATGATTTGATTCTCAAATAAATAGACCTTGAAAAATATGCAGGGATGTCACAAGGAGTAGAGAAAAATCACAACAGATCTACAAGTTAATTCATTTCACTTTCATCAGGGAGCTTAAAAAATACAGTGTTACCTCAGTGGATGCCTGTTTTATTAGTCATCCCTTAGAAATTGGACTCATGACTGACTAGATTTATGAAGTTTTGAAATGATAGGAAAATGGCAACTTTGTGCATTGTGGAAATTATTTAGAAATCAAGTGTCTAACTCTAGGCCTCTTTGGGGAAAGACAGTGCATACTATGTTTAGTGTTTTCTGATGGTGGAATTGTTTTATTTTGTCATGACTTATTTACTTACTTTTTTTTTTGGTAATAAAAATAATTCAACTCAGAAAAATAGGACAGAAATGGAAAGCAACTATACATTCAACTAAACTTCATGTCTCTGTCAAAATTTTGTTGAGTTCTTTATAGTCTTCCCTGTTCCCTTCCAACCCTGTTTCCATTATGGTTAGGATTCTATTTTCGGTCTGCCTTTTTTTATAAAAAAACTTCTTATGAAAAATTTCAAATATATGTGAGAACAGAGAATATTCAAGCATATATGAGCGCACAGAGAATTATATGATAAGCTCCATATGCCCATCACCCAGCTTCAGTTCCTAACACATAACCCTTCTCATCTGTTATCCCTGCCCCCAAACACTGGATTATGTTAAAGTAAATCCCAGACATTGTATCACTTCATCCATAAGTATTTCAGTTGGTATCTATAAAAGACAGGCTTTCAGGAATCCACTTGCAACACAGGAGACGTGGAGTTCGATCCCTGGGTCGTTAAGATCCCCTGGAGGAGGAAATGGCAACCCACTCCAGTATTCTTCCCTGAAAAATCCCGTGAATAGAGAAACCTGGAGGGCTATAGTCCATGGGTTCGCAAGAGTTGGTTATGACTTAGTGAGTAAACCACCACCACCAACTGTAAAAGACAACCCTTTTAGACAACACACATGAATACCTGTATTAGTTCCTGAGGATACATTTCTCGTTTGTATCACCGGTGGAATAAGTGTTGTTTTTCCTTCCCAAGTTGTTCCTTAAAGGTCTTTAACGCTTGACTTATCTGGGTTGGGCTGCTTGTCCTGTAGGCTTTGCCACAGCCTGTGCCGTATTTATTACGTCCTCCTGTCCTTGCTGGTTTTCCCCTCTGTTGTCTGTTCACTTCCCGGGTCTACGGGCAAAGTACTCAGTGACCCTCTCTGCTTCTTGTAGATATTCTCCCTTGGGTATTGCCCGACTGGGGAGTGGCTGGCCGTGGGCATGGAGAGCAGCAACGTGGAAGTCCTCCACGTGAACAAACCTGACAAGTACCAGCTGCATCTCCACGAGAGCTGTGTGCTGTCCCTAAAATTCGCTTATTGTGGTGAGTTCAGCTGAGAGGAAACCAGAGGACGCCGGTGGCCGAAATGGAAAATACTTCTAAAAAAATACAGTGGAGATCATAGCTGGAAAAAATGTTGTTCTCTGAGCAGCTGGATGCAATCATTCTATTGTCTTAAAATTGTCCCTCAGAGCATAGTGATGCCTGTTTCGGCCTGTTTCCCTAATTTGAGAAAAGTCAGCAGGCGATAAAATTGCCTAATACATGGTTTTGACGCATGTTTGTTTTTAGTGAAGAGAGTCAGAAGTGTGGGTGGAGGGCAGTTAGGCACCCCTCTGAGGGGGATGGGTGGGGATTTGTAGGAGAATGGGGCAGGAGCAGAGGAGGTCATTGTGGACTGACCAGGATGAGGAGCCCATGATCAGAGAAGGGAGCACTTAGGGGCGCCCAGACCATTACACTCTGCAGTGAGGAAAGTGAGGAGAGAGGTTCATGGGGAATCCAGTACTTATGCATGAGATGAGGGGTGGATTAGTAGCTTTCACATTACTGACCACATTCTGTGTGCCATATATCCTGTCTGCCATTTAACTTAGATTCCTCATTCAATCCTTTCTAGTCCCATTTATCATAAGGAGACTAACAGAAAACAACTTCATTGATTGACAGAGGACCCACTGTGTGCTGGGTGTGAAGCTACCTGTCATGCATCCAGTGGCCAATGGGACTGACATGGTCTCTGCTCCACTTTGATTAAATCCAAGGTCACAGATGGTTCACACTGGAGCCCATGTTTAAAACCTGCCCTCTCCACTTCTGTCACACCCTTGGGCGTGATAGTTCATAATTAAACAATTCTCTGAGTTTGATTACGTTCAAGCAGCTAATATATACCAGGAATTTTGATCTTATCATCTGTTCTTTTGCTAATTCTAGGTAAATGGTTTGTGAGTACTGGAAAAGATAACCTCCTCAATGCTTGGAGGACCCCCTATGGAGCTAGCATATTCCAGGTAAGTCAGTGATCCTCACCTAGAATGGCAACAGTTGGACTACAGTGTTCCTGATGATGCTGGAAGTGAAGGTGCCTTGGAGGGACAGGGCCTGGAGCATCTCTGTTCCACACCAAACACACGTCCATTGTTTTCTCTTCCAGTCCAAAGAGTCCTCATCTGTGCTCAGCTGTGACATCTCTGTGGATGACAAATACATTGTCACTGGCTCAGGGGACAAGAAGGCTACAGTCTATGAAGTCATCTACTGAAAACATTATGCGGTTTAATGTTTATAGTTGAATTGGGCCAAAATGTTTTGAATTTGTAGAAATAGAAAAGTCGTAACTTTAAAAACACGAAAACCTGTTTCCAAACCTTGACACGAAACTACTTTGCATCTACAAAGAGGAGGCAAAGAGCGCATCGAGAGAAGGTCACCGGTCTACCTAGACCAAACGGAGCACCGAGGCAGCGTGGACAGAGGGGTGAGGGTTGCGGGCTCCAGGAACGGAGCCTGCCGGCCCAGGCAGAGTTCATCCTTTTCTTTCTGTGAGGTCTGCCGAGATTACCTTTCTGTTCCTTGTGGCTCCCCTCCTGTCTGTCCTTGGTAGATCAGTGGTGTCTCCAATGAACTTGTTTCCTGGTTTTGCATCTTGTGAAATGTTTTTTTTTTTGTATTTTTGTTGAAGGTTAAACATTTGTATAAATTGTAAATATATTTGGTTTATTACAGTAAAGGCTTTAGTACCAATAAGTGGTTTTCCTTCTTCTTCTTTATTGTTTTTAATCATTGGTGTGGGTTCTATAAGCAAAGTTCAGAAATTTGTAGAGGAAGTTTTAAAATGCACTTCTCATTTTATAAATATATTTGGTCACAGACTCCTGGTGCTCTAGGACCTAATTACCTCTTCTGAGTTAATCAGGAAGTCAAGAGGAAGAACAATAAGTAACCAAAGGTTTATTAATGATGATTTTATTTGGGAAGCTAACATAACATGACTTAAGCCAAGATTCATTCTTTTGTTTGGATACTCTTGTGATTCAAGGTTGTAAGTTAAAGCTTTATTTTTTCTTGGTGATTCACTGGGAGACAGAATACTCTTTTTTTTTTCTAGCAAAGCCTGGCATTTTCAAATCTATAGTCTCCCTTTACAGGCTTTACATTTCAAGAAATGGAGGTGACTTGGGTTTAGTGCTAAGACTGGTGATATCCACAAAACTGTGGAGTTCATTAACCTGTAGAAGAAAGGTGGGGTGCCTGCTGGTTTTATCTCATTAATACTTATTTGATCTATTATATTAATTGACTTAAGCCAACCACACCCAGCACTTTGCTCCATCTTTCTCATTAAGGCTTTCCCTACAGCTGCAGCCCTTGCTGCCTGTCATTAGTCTGGTCTTTATCTTTGTGGACAAGCTTCTACTAATTTGATTAGATGGAACCTGTAACCCTGGGCTTTTAATAAGTTGCCATGCATGATTCCTCCTGAAAAGGCCGCATGGCTCATTCTTTATATACCTATTATTGACTGCTATATTTTCAAAAATAATGGTTAATAACTTCAAGCCAGGTTTTGTGGCTGTTTAAAAATAGCACCTAAGGAATTTTATATTGTCCTTGTTTTCTTATGATCCAGCAAGTTGTTGGCAGTTTGTCTCAACATTTTTTATTTGTTATCCAGACCATCTTGTTTTCATACACTTAACAACATTATTTTGTTTACTTTTTGCCAAAATAATGTTTATGTACAGTTTGTTAAATATTCTCTCTTCTCATTAAGTGGATGGCAAAGGCCTAATTACTGAAGCTGATTTCTCTCTCATCCCTTCCCTGCATGATGCAGTAGGTTTCTGTACTACAGACTCTGATGGGTTCGTAACATGCTGTTCACTTTTGCTGGTCTCTCTCCTTCCTGCCTCACCTTCCCTGTTTTCTGTAATAGTAAAGTAGAGGTTAAGTTGCTATAACAGAACCTAACAGTACAGTGGGCTCCGAGACCACGAAGGGTTTATGTCTTACCCATGTATGACCCAGAGACCCAGGCCAGTGGTGCAGCTCTGGGCATACACGGTTACCCCCGTGGTCTCTAGTCCCAGCCTCCAGGGGGACTGGGGTCCTCCTTCCCAGAGGGAAAGAGTGGGAGCCCAGGGGAAGGGTGTGCTCCAGGCAGGCGACTTGGAGTTTCTCTGTCATTTCCATCGCCAGTCCATTGGTGGGGACCTAGACACAGGGGAGTCTGGGGGTTGTGGTCTCTTCCTGTGCAGCGGGTACCCAGGGAGAAGGGAGAGTATACTTGGAGGGATTCTGGGTTAAGTAGATAGTCCCGTTTTCTGTTGGTGCATTTTCTCTCTCCATGCTTTATGGTTTCCCAAGCTCCCAATATTCTTTCTCTCATGGGATTTTCTGAGGGTCTAGATCTTTTATCAGCTCATCATTATCTTCAGTCTGATGAAACCACTTCCATTTGCTCTTGGTTGAGACTCTAGTCTGGTCCCAGAAGAGGTGTTCTGTAGAGCTCATCCCTCTGCTCAAGGTTTGGAATCTTGGGGGACTGCCCTGTTGGTTGTTTCTCCACTCACAAAATGGGAATGATAAAATAGTCATGCCTACATCTCAGGGTCTTGAAGGTCAGAATCTGGTGTGTGAGGCATGACCGGAGTACCATCTATGAGTGGGAGATTTCCTCCTCAACCGTAATGTTAGGAGGCCCCATCCCTTTTCCCCAGGAAACTGGAATCATGTGATTGTTGAAACCTGGGTAAGCCAAATGTTTATGTACCTCTTGCTTTGAAAAATGGATTAGAAGTTAGGGTTCAACAGATTCACATCCATCTAGAGAGCTGTGCAAGGCAGGTTTGCATATAAAAATATCAAGAGATGATTATCATTATCCCTGTAGAAGTAACCAAGGTTCAGGGAAGTTGTGTCCTCCCGACCTCATGGAAGACAGAACCAAATTCAGCCTTATTCTTTTGAGTTTCATAGAGTGGCCTGTGATTTTTCACAGCTCTCCAAATTTCATTTCACTTGAAATATTTACAACTTGCACATTTCTCTGGTGTATATTGGCGTATGAAAGTGAAAGTGTTAGTCGCTCAGTCATGTCTGACTCCTTGCAACCGCATGGACTCTAGCCCACCAGGCTGCTCTGTCCATGATATTCTCCAGGCGAGAATACTGGAGTGAGTAGCCATTTCCTTCTCCAGGGGATCTTCCCGACCGAGGGATCAAACCCAGGTCTCCCACATTGCAGGCAGATTCTTTACTGTCTGAGCCACCAGGATTTATGACTGAATTTAAGCAAATGATTGTTTTCCCTATTCTTTTTAATAGGTTTTATTTAATATTTATTTAATCTTTTTTTTTCTATCACTCAGTCTTTAAACTTGAATGTATTTCTGTCATGTTTTCTTCTATGGCACTCAAGTTTGCTGGATAATAATTGAAGGCCTAGTAAGATTGGTTTTGTAATACCTTTTTCATTACCAGATGTTTCTAGTACTACTTATTTCATATTAACAAAATATTTCATCAGTATGATAATTAACATTTTTAAAGTTTCTGTTATTTGACAGCTGATAGGGAACTGTGTTATAAAAAAAATCCTTACAGTGGCCTGAGAGATGGGACTTTCTTTTTTTCTTGGCTGCATGGCATGTGGAACTTCCCTGGCCAGGGAAGCATCAGATGCATGACTCCTGCATTGGAAGCATGGAGTCTTAGCCACTGGATCACCAGGGAAGTCCTGAGAGATTTTTCCATCTTTGAAGATTTCATGACTGGTAAGTAGCAGCTGGCTCCAAAGCATTCAATACAGAGATTTTAAAAATTGCACTTTTGCTAATGGCACAATGAGGTGGTGACATTCCCAAAAGTTTCCCAGCAAGTCAGACAGGATCAAATTCCTAATTTCAGCATGCTGTTTAACTCCATCAAGGGACTGTTGCCTCTGCCATCAGCTTGAGCATGAGGAAGGATATTTCATACTTTCCACTGCTAGATCATGGCTTGTTTGTTTCTCAAGAATGTCTTCCCTTTACTCTTCCTTTGGCAGTGAAATCATCAAATCACCACAGTTTCAGGCTTCCCTGAGCAAGATGAAGCTTGTGTGAGGCACGTTTTCTGACCCAGCAAACTTACTCTCCAGATAGCCAAGGCTTCTTTGGCTTAGCTTCTCTGGCCCCAGTCTCAGAGTTTTTGATTCACTAGGTCAGGGCAGGACCTGAGAATCTGTATTTCTGACAAGTTCTAGTTGTTCCTGAGGCTGCTAGTCTGGAGACCACACTTTGAACACGGCTAATCTAGAATAATAATTTTTACAATAGAGCTGTCAGTGTTTATCTAGAGAGCTATCAACTATTAGAGTATATGCATATTCTCTCATAATGCTGTATTTTTAGCTTTGGATTAAAAGCAAAATGGCAAAATGGCAATAAAATGTTAAGACGTACTGTGGTGAAGTTGATATTTCATTAGTCTCTGTTTCCAAAACTAACTTTTGAAGTTGACTATTATAATAGGTCTAAACCAAAATTGAGCCCTTAAAAAGTTTTTTTTTTTTAAACTTATCCATTACTCATTGTGAATTGTGTGAGTCTTGTAAGGCTTGGAAAACCTACCATGATGATAGTAGAAGCCTTGAGAACGTACACAATGTTTGATGGAAGTGGAGATGCATAATTAAGAGTTAGAAATCATTCTTTGAAAACTGGAATACTTACTATATGTAGAACAATAAGCTGCTGACTTTATCAAATGTCTTCATTCTTCAAATTATCATACTAGATTCAGTCAGTCAGCCAGTATTTATTGAATAGGGGACCTCAGCATGTGGCAAGGTGGTCACTGGTCTGACTAAGGTGAAATTATTCCAGCAGGGGGCGCTGGGGAAGAATCTACTGGTGGTAATGGACCAGGATGTGGGAGAGGCTCTGCCCTAAGGAGACCCACAGTAAGGGATGGGCAGGCAGCTTGCGGCAGTCTTGGATGTGAATTACTCATTTGACATTAGCTGGCGAGGGCAGCCAGTGGGTACCATTCCAGCAAGCATTTGGAAGAACGTCCATGTGCCAGGCACTGGGCCAAGGGCTTCCAGATGTTTTCTCAGAAAAGACTTTTTTATTCATGAGAGTATCCTACATCTCTGACTTGGAAAATAGGGCAAGGTACAAAGAAGAAAATAAAAACCTGTCATTGTACCACCTAGAAATAATACATTATCGTTTTTATGCCAATTGTGTCAACTATAATATAGATGATTAATAATGGTGAGCATTTTGTTGAGTGTTTTCTCTGTGCCAAGGACAGTTGAATGTTTTGTCTTATCTCACTGAATTTTCACAAAAGCCCAATGAACTAGTTACTGGTTTCATACACATTTAACCAGTGAAGAAACTGAGATTCAATAACCAACTTGAGATCATACAGCTAATTGTTGGCAGAGTGAGATTTAACCCAGGCAGTCAGATTCCAAAGCCCAGCGTCTTAATTCTACAGTTTAACCTCCTTGCCCAAGTGGTTTTGGAAGCTGTTGCTCACTTTTTCTTTTTTGTTTTCAGCTCGAGGTATAATTGACAAGTGAAACAGTAGATATTTTGAAGTGTCCAACATGATGATTTGATATATGTATACACTGTGAGAGGATTCTCCACATCCAATTAATTAACCTAGGCTTCCCCCCACCCCCACATACTTATCTTTTTTTTTTTTTTAAGTGAGAATGCAAGTTCTATCTTCCTGGCAAATTTCAGTAATATGATACATTATTATCATCCTCAATGTTGTTCATCTTATATCTGTAAATCTGTACCTTTTACCAACCTCTCCCTATTTCTCTCACCCCCTTCAGCCCCTGGCAACTATCCTTCAACTCTGAGTGACTTTTTTTCTTTTAAGATTTCACATATAAATGATACCATGCAATATTTGTCTTTCTCTGTCTGGCTTATTTCACTTCACTTAATGCCCTCTAAGTTATTCTATATTATCACAAATGCCAAGGTTTCCTTTTTAAAGGCTGAATAATATTCCATTATACACACACACACACACATATGTATGTATGTATATATACCCATATACATACATATGTCACATTTCCTTTATCCATCTGTTGATGAACACAAGGTATAATGTTTTTATTATACCTTCACTATTGTGGATGCTGCTGCGTGGGGGTGCACATATTTCTTTACGATGATTTCATTTCCTTTGGATGTCTACAAAGAAGTGGGATTGCTAGATCACACCATAGTTTTATTTTTAATATCTTGAGAAACCTCTATAGTATTTTCCATAGTGGCTGAGCCAATTTACATTCCCACCAAGAGTTCCCTTTCTTCATGTTCTGGCCAGTGTTTGTCAGCTCTTGTCTTTTTGGTTATTCTAACAGATGTGAGGTGATACCTCCTTGTGGTTTTGATTTGCATTTTCTGATGATCAGTGATGTTGAAAACTTTTTCATGTATTTATTGGCCTTTTGTATGTCTTTTGGGAAAATGGCTATTCAGGTCTTTTGCTCATTTAAAAAAAATAGGTTATTTGAAGATTTTTTTTGTATTCAGTTCACTTTATTATTAAAATTTATTCACAAACAACTTACAGTCTGAATTTACTATAACTTGCCCTATCATTTATTAGGCATATAGGCTATTCCAAACACTAAGATACAATTCTTATAAAGCAAATGTTTGTATATCATATTCTCACCTTATTTCTGTTCCTTTCCTTAAAATTAATCCCAACAAATGGAATTACTGCATCAAAAGATAGAATGATGTTTCAAATCTTTTGGTATTATTCGCTGCCAAATTGCCTTCCAGAAATATTACTACACCCAGTTACCACATAGCAGTGGTAACTTGTTTCATGGCAAATAGATGGGGAAAAATGGAAACAGTGATAGACTTTATTTTCGTGGGCTCTAAAGTCACTGTGTACAGTGACTGCGGCCATCAAAAGATGCTTGCTCCTTGGAAGAAAAGCTATGGCAAACTTGGAGAGTATATTTAAAAGCAGAGACATCACTTTGACGACAAAGGTGCATCTAGTCAAAGCTATGGTTTTTCCAGTATTCATGTATGGATGTGAGAGTTGGACTATAAAGTAAGCTGAGCACCAAAGAATTGATGCTTTTGAACTGTGGTGTTGGAGAAGACTCTTGGGAGTGCTTTGGATTGTAAGGAGATCCAACCAGTCCATCCTGAAGGAACTCAACTCTGAATATTCATTGGAAGGAGTGATACTGAAGCTCCAATACTTTGGTCACCTGATGTGAAGAGCTGACTCATCTGAAAAGACCCTGATGCTGGGAAAGATTGAGGGCAGGAGGAGAAGGAGGCAACAGAGGATGAGATGGTTGGATGGCATCATCAACTCAATGGAAATGAGTTTGAG